GACGAGGGTCTTAAGACATCTGTGCAGAGTGCTTCCAAGATAGGAGCGCCTACATCCCCGATGTTTAGAATTGGCGATGGCGAATCAAGTTCCTATCCAAGGAGTAGCACGGGAAATCAAGATGGCTCAGATTTCTGTTTACTAAGAAATGCCTGTTGATCCGAGTGGTCGCATGGATATAAATGTGGCATCTCATCAGGACTAGTCTGTCAAGTGTAGGATCACACTGACTATGGAGTATTGGGTACGTCCATAGTCTTACCATGCAAGATGTGTGGCTGGGGCGCAGTCTAGTAAAGATGGAATCTTGAAGCTGCGAAAGATCAGGGAAGAGAAAAGAAGTGCGCTGTTGCTGTGCCCTACCTGTCCTGTATGCTGGTGGTGGCATGCATTCTTTTTATGACTCTGTTTTGTCGATTTGGGGCAGACAAGCAGAGGGTCGATGAGATGAAATGGGTCTGTGTGATGGCGTATTATTTTGTTGTCCAAGATGGCAATAGCAACCTTCTTACACGAACTGACGGCATGAAACCCCGAAGCACAAGCGGGGTTCGAACCCGCAGACTTTTCCTCCAAAAGCACTGGACATACTTCTCCACTCTACACTAAGTTACTACACGAGATGTCTTGGTGTTAGCGAGTTAGGAGGAGCAATATGTTGCTTAGCTTGTATGGCAAGCAGCTGTGGTATTGGACCAGGTGAAAAGTGAAGCTAAAATAGATTGCACCGTTAGGCAACCGTTCAGCGGATGACCAGCGTAAGAGCATGGCTCTAGGACCAGTAAGGGTTATCCCTCGATAGTGTGTGCCATCTAATCGTGCCAAATGGGTCTTAGATTTTCTTCGCAAGCCACGTACCCCTGAGGGGAAACCAGGCAAGCGTGCTGATGGGGGCTGGGTGCTGAGCCAACCATGACGGTCTTGGCATCACTGCAGACAGGACAGCAGTCTTCAGCACCACCAAGGGAACGGAGGCTTCGTGAACAGTCGTCTTTACCAAGATCAGAATGGGATTCTATGCAATAGAAACACCCCTGATGCATATCTTGAACATTGTACAGCAAGTCCAGCATTCTGCAACTTCTGCCAAATTAACCATGAATCGTGCCACAGCACGAATAGTAATAGGTCATACAGCAGCGCAGATGCTGGTTGAGAAAATTAATAACAAACAAAATGGGTGGCATCACAACACAGCTGAGTTATAGATTGATGTCTGCCTGAGGATTAACAAATTGCACTGCAACGTGGATATTGAAATTGCACTGCAGCACGGACAATGAAACGTTGTGTGAGATAGCGCAACACAGAAGTCTGGGAACATGCGGCACAGAGGCTCAGTGCACTCAAAGTTACCGAAACTTGCCAAATACTTGGGACCTGTGATCATTGCCTTGGACAAAGTCCTCAGCAAGGTCCCCCACGTCGAGTGAGTCGCACTCATCCCTCATAACATGCACCAGTGCACAGTGATTGAACCATTCTTGCGTCATCGTGGATCTAAGGTACGTCTTGAGCCGACGAAGAGCAGAGAAGGAACGCTCACTGGTTGCATTGGTTGCAGGCGTCACCAGTACCAGCTTTACCAGGGTGACGACTTCGCTCATGAATGTGTCTCGGCTGGCCTGAGATTTCAAGTATTCCACAATGTCATTCAATGACGGACTGCTACCAGGAGTGGCAGCGAAGTGTGCTCTTAGAACGAGGAGCTGGCTGCGGAGAACAGGCACATTGAAATCCTCACCCCAGATCTCCTCCACTTTGACAGCTTGCTGCTCAATCTTTTGGCCAGATGCAGCATTGAGGAGCAGACTTTCCAGAAGAAGGTAGCTTTTCAAGCCTTCTTGGTTAAATCTCTCCTCTATAGCAGACACAATGGAGTCGATGGCCTGGTAGTATATTGGACGGTAGTGGTGCTCAACTGATTTCGCAAAGTGAGGTGCTGATGATCCATCTTGAAGCCTGGCTGGTGCTCGACGCTTGCGGGGAAACTGTGGTTCATTCACGTCCAGTTGCTCTTGTTTGGCCGTGACCTTCTTCCAGAATTTATCAAACTCCTCATCTGTCTCAGCAACTTGAGGCCTGCGATGGTTTTCTGAGCCATCTGCTGGCCTTCCCCAATGCTGAGGTTATCAGCCAGTTTCAAAATCAACTGACCTAGACAAACATCAAACAAGTTGAATGATGAGAGCTGGAGCCGCATGCTGTTGCACTTGGCAGACATTTCCTGGTCATACTTTGCCATTTCCCTCAAGCGTTCCACTGGCTTGGAGCACATCATAGTTGACAAAAGCGCTATTTAAGGACGATGCCCTCACTGTCCATCGAGTTGGACATATCTTGCGAAATCCTGGCTCCTCGGGGCGATTTCCTTCTTCAGCTTGGAAAATTCAGCAGAGCGCCTGGCAGAGTACTTCAGCAGCTTGCTGAAGTCAAAGGTGGTATCCGATGCATCTTTCACAAGTGAGACATTCCTGGCCAGATCTTGGCAACCTAAATTAAGGGAGTGGCCATAACAGTGAGTGAAGATGGCCTTGGGCTGCTCCTGTAGTATCTGCTTGGCCACACCGTTCCGCGCTCCTCTCATCACTGCTGCTCAATCATAGCACTGGCCCCGGCAGTCGCTCAAACTCAGGCCAAGCCGAACAAGACTGTCCTTGATGACTGCAACAGCAGTTTCTGCATTGGCTACATCAATGGCATAGAACCCAACAAAGTCTTCTTGTGGCTCTAAGTCGTTGTCTGTCCACTGGATCACCAATACACACTGTTCCATGGTGCTGCAGTGTGTTGTCTCGTCGACCATGATGGAGAAGAACTTGCCCCTGATGTGCGAGGCCAGCTGACGCAGGATCCTCATGGCCATCACTTTCAGGATTTCGTTCTGCACTGGAGCACTTGTGTACTTGTCTGTGCGCTTCTCCACCCACTTCGCCAGCGTATCATCCTGCTCTGACACAAGTCTCAGCAGCTGGATGAAGTTGCTGTCGACTTCTGCACCGTCTTTGTATGTGCCGCGAAGAGCCAATCCTTGCCAGGCCAAAGACCGGATACTGCAGAGAATTTGGAGCTGGCATTCTCGATTGTCACGGCGCTGCACAGACAGCTGGGAGTTCAGGGCCTCTCCAACGTCCCTGGTGGTGTTAGGACTCTCCATCAACCGCTGCACAGCCTCGGTATGGCAGCCAGACTCGCTATGCTTCGCCATAACTCTCTTCGCCTCTTTCCAGTTTTGGAAACCAGAAGAAATAAAACACGAATCGGCATTGTTCGTGGAGAGAAAGCTGCGCCTTGACGCACGGATGCATGGCAAAATACTCTAGACGAGGCACATCCCAGTGAAGCCACGGGAATTGGTCGAACCATACCGGTTGAAACGATTGCCACACAACAGTTTTGATGCCGAAACTACGTTTAGGGAAGTCAAAATCTCGGGGCTGGAACAGCTTGTCTTCGATCTGGTCCGGAATCCATCCTGCATCACGACAACTAACTTACTGAGCCTTGTGACTCAACATACAAACAACAGTCAAGTTTTCGCGAGGAGGTAAAGCAGTTTCCAGAACCAAGCCGCAAGCGCCCAAACTAGGTGCAAAGACAGGATACCACGTGCGATCCGTGTCGTATTAAAAAAAAGTTCTTTACTCTGGATGGTGCAGGACTGGAAGTGGCTTCGCGTGGTCCGTATGCGCTGGATCGATCCACATGAGTGCCGCAAACAGCCCGTGCTCACGCCAGTTGTGATACTTGGGTGCTGCCAGCGTACTAGGCTGTCAACAAAAGTAGTGGTTTTCACGCGACAAGCGGCGATTACGCGTGCATAGATCTACCGTACAGTACATGTAGACTTTTTGAGGTGCTACGACTTGTACACTCAAACTTAGCACAAGCGTCTTGTAGCCTGTAGGGTACAGGGCCTAGGGGTACAGGTACGACGCGCCGATCGACTCTGGACAAATCTCCAACTTTCAAAACTTTTTATGACTTTTCTGAGCGTTTCACGGTGACCACCAGTCGCCAGAAGTGGTACGGCCATGGTCGTACCAGTCGTACCGACTCCAACGGCCCTGAAAAGGATTGAAAACGCGAATGTAAAAGTAGGTGGGCTCAAACCTATTCCCCCACAAACCAGTTGCGGGAACATCCAGGCGGGCGGAATCTTCAGTGGCGGCTGACCGATGGACGAACCTTTCAACAATGAGGGGCTCTAGGCAGGGTTCAACGACCGCATCATGGGCCACCTCCTTCAGCAAACCCGCTAGTTGGATGGCAACTTGGATGGTCACTTGGATGATGTCCAGCCATACCGTAGGCAAAGGCCATCCCTAAATGCGCTCTTGGATCAACTGAAGCCATAGCGCTTCAGGGGACGACATGCCAGCCAATTTGATGCTCTCTTTTCAGAAGCAATAGCGATAGCTCGCTGCATGCAGTTATCAGTATCCTCCAGCAGCTCCTTGGCATCTGCAGCTGCCTGGCAATCCTTGGCCTTAGAATGGGCTGCCTTGTGTGCACGCACCTGCTCCATTGCCCCCTCGAGAGCGGTGCAGTAATTGCATTGGAGCTTTTCGGGTCCCAAAGTTCGTATTTTTGTTTACATATGGTGTATAAGCCGCACTCCCAACTTTAAAAAAATTGAGCAACCTAACCTGATGGGTATCGGACTATCGGTACATACAAGACGTTACCAATGGTTGAGAAAGTTGGGAAGCACGACTCGAGTTCTGAGAAAGTTGCCTAGTTCGTCCTTCACTCCGAACTGACGACATGTGGAAGCTTGGCACTAGTACAATGATGGATTGCAGGACATTAAAAGTAGTCAAGTGACACCATACAGTCATTATATGCATGGAGTGCTGTAGCACTGGTCGATTCACACCCAGTATTTGGAGTATAAGCCGCAGGGGCGGTTTTAGAGCATTTTAATGCGTTTTAAAGTGCGGCGAACACACCGTAAAATATGGCATGTGTATTTGTATTCATTTGTACTGTGTGTGTAGTGTCGTGGTGACTCCTGGTTGATCCACTCAGCTGTCGATCGCTGCTATCTTGGCGTGGTGTACGAGCTGTTAGCAGCTGGTGCCAATATCAATGTCAGGTGAGATCATGTGTATTGCAGTCGCAGACTTTATCCAGGAGTAGGTATTTTATGACTCAGTGCATTCTCTACCCGCCGTGTATTTAGCTCTGTACCTACAGTATAGCTCAGCGTATGCATCCTTGCTCGCACAATGGACACTTTATTCCAGGTTAAGGTGGCTCACACCCTCTGCGCGCGCATCGTTTGAAAAGTGTAGATTTTCAGTAAATTTTTCGGTAGCGATGATTTTTGTGCGATCAATCGTTGTAGGAAACGTCTTCTCGCTTTTCTGCAATTCTGGCGACCTAGCTAGAACCTTCTGCTAGTGTCCCTCTTCACTCGTTCTTTCTATGAAAGGGGAAGGCAGCACTCGCAGAAGATTTTCCAAGAATGCAATGTCGACTGGTGCTCGTACTATAAGAAGGGAGAAATCAAAGTCCGCTCTTGAATCATGCCTGAGTCTTAGAAAATTATTTCAGAATACGCTTGTGTAAATTTCCTGCCAGTGCCACTGACATCTCGCGACCTTCAAATATAACTTGCTCGATCATCTCCCGCACTGACTGGTAAATTCGTCGGGTAGCTGTGGATGGATCGATTCAGGGAAGTCGAAGGTAAATACATCGAAGCACTTCAAACACGTTTCAAGACGCACTTCAAATTTTGTAATTGTGTCTTGAAAATTGTTTACAACAATTCGTACTTCAATACGCTGTTGAATTGTATCCTCTGGTTGGGAGTCTCGACTGTTTTATTGCTGCATGGCTTTCCTCAACACCGTTCACTGTACATGTATCGCGGAACGCAGATTGTATGGCATTGGAGGTGAATTTGATAATTTGTGACTGTGTCATCAACCAAGTGAGGACATCAAATATCAACAGGGACGTTCCGAAAATCACAAACGCTGCGAAATAGGTATGAAATGGTCTTACACACTGGTGGGTATTCCACATTCATTGTGTCATATCTTTAGACTGTTCGAAAGTTTGTCGTGCCGTGCAACTTTCACAGACTAATCCGATAATTGGCATGTGGCCCTATCGGCACACACTCATGCGTATGCCGCTGAGTCTATCTATATGTGCACGCACATGTGTGTATACTTACACAATTTTATTACGTATGCAAAATTAGGCAATCTACATGTATATATATATATATAGGTGTGTGCACTCACTCCTATGACATAGAACGACAGTGCAGGCTATGTAGAGTCGCACGAATGTGTGTTACCCGGGTGTGTATATGCATGCGTACTCGCGCGGGCGTTTTGTGTGCGCGCCTGGCATGGTATAACGCCGTTCAATATGACTAGTGTTGAACCGTGGTAATTTGTCCCACCCCTTCTTTTTCATTGGCGTTGGATATGCAACTAATGACATAAACTCGGCTGTTGAAAACGAGTGCCATGCACCACAATGGATTGACAATAATATAATACAAGTAGCGCTGTAAAAGCGCTGGTAATACTCATGTTGCAGCCATGGCAGTTGTGATTAGCTTTCCAAGTCAAGCCTGCTGCAGAAATTATTGCACTCTGACCAGCTGGAGTGGCCCAGGACTGCAGGTTGTGGAGAACAGGAGTGATGCTTGTATATACGCTTGTATTTACATGATGGACTCCGAAGTAACGTTAGGTGTATTACTTGTATGTTCTTCTGCCTGTGCACGTGTACATGTGCTGGTCAGTGTGGAACCGCCATCCATATCAGATCATATAGCTCAGCTGCTATCAGTCTCAACAGCTTATATCTGGCAAATAGGGTTTTAGTGACTCAATTTTGCTTACTGTGTTCAACAGAGTGGCATTGCACACAGCTACTTTATGTAATAGTAGCATCTTGGAAATTTTACATTTTTGGTAGTTAGCTTCAGTAGAAACTTCTCCAGTGTGGCTCTTAGCTTCATTACCATGGAGACTAAGCATTCAAGTAATGCACGAAGAACAGTGGCTAGATGCGAAGTGAAAAGCCATTGGACCGTACCCAATGGAATACGCATTTAGTATAGCAGTATTGCTTGCTATGTTGGCAGCAAACACTGTATAATAATAATTGCATTACCAGTAGAAAGTGCCCAATGTGCATTGCTTCAGCACTGTGTTGTGGACAAAGCAGTCAAAAAATTCCACATCAGTATTGGCTTCATGTTGGAGAAAGTTGTGAAAAACACTAGAGCGTACATGTACACTCAATGCACATGCTCAGCTACATGTATGGCATTTAGTATGTGGGCGACTTCAAAGTTCTATTTTGGTAGTTAGCTTCGGTAGAAACTGTCTAAACTTGATCCAAAGCTCTACTACTATGTTCTGAAGATGTTGCAATCAAGTAATGTAAGACACGTATCTGCCGCATTGGAGCTAGTTGTGAAAACCTTTAGACCATACACACAATGCACATGCTCAGCTATGGCATTTAGTATGTGGGCGACTTCAAAGTTCTATTTCGGTAGTTAGCTTCGGTGGAAAATGCTAAAACTTGATCCAAAGCTCTACTACTATGTTCTGAAGATGTTGCAATCAAGTAATGTAGGACACGTATCTGCCGCATTGGAGCTAGTTGTAAAACCTTTAGACCATACACTCAATGCACATGCTCAGCTATTGCATTTAGTATGTGGGCGACTTCAAAGTTTTATTTTGGTAGTTAGCTTCGGTGGAAACTGCTAAAACTTGATCCAAAGCTCTACTACTATGTTCGGAAGATGTTGCAATCAATTATTGCAAGATACGTATCTGTCATATGGTGGAGTCAGGGGTTCTAAGGCGTTGGACAATGTCCCAGTGCAATGTGCTGATTCTTGAAAATATGGCATCACTTGACACTTCAAAGTTTTATTTCAAGAGTTACCTTCGGTAGAACCTGCTCAAACTTGCTACACAGTACCATTTTTAGGGTATGATAGCATAACCATCAAATACAGGGCAAGTCCAGTGTCAAATACTTGTGGGCGGGGCTAATATGTGGGACGTGTGCGCTGAAATGGGATGATTCCGAAAAGAGAAAAAGGTCACCTTCTAGCAGAATTCTACCCACTTCTAAAGCTTATGCTGGTATTTAGCAAGTATACTACTGTCCTGATGTTGGACATCAAGAAAAATGGGGTAACTACGAGTGCTACGGCCAAAAAAGTGGTTTTCCGGTGTTTTTTGGCCTAAATTGGCAATTGTGAGTATGCTATGTTTGGCCCCTCCCCCGAGTGAAACCGGCCGGTAGAACTTGATAAAATTTTATGTCCGTACACTAGATATCCTACGGAACAAAGTACAATCGTTTGTAGCCACGTTTCAAAAAAAAAAAAATTGGACCCGAGGGGTAGGAGCCACCTTAAGGCAGGGTTTCACATCTGCACATCACTTTCACAGAGGTTGAACTGGGTGCATATAGCTCTGGAGAGGTGTCATGTGCACAAGCTCTGCCATTTTGGTGGGTTTCCCCTTCTCAAGTGCGTGGGTTGTGTAGGTTATGCAGTGTCATTAAGGTGGCTGGGGCAGTACAACTTTTTAAGGGCAATTTAGACTGCATTTTTGAGTTTATCGACGAGGTGGAGATGAAATTTGAAAATGTTTTTCGGTGAATCTCTGGAGAAGCGCCTTCTCTAGCCTCCTATAGTTTTATTTTTACTTTTGGACACAATTTGAAATATTTGATGAACGGTCCGTGTTATTTTCCCACGGACCTTTCATAAAACGTTTTCGAATTTTGTCCAAAAGTAAAAGCCTGTGATTAAATTTTAGAGCTGATCTTGCTGTTGTCCCATGCTGTGTGTACGTGTCAGGAATGCATATGGACAGACACCACTCCTAATGGCATGTCGCCAGCGATCGTTCGCTCTTGTCAGCCTGTTGCTGCGCTACTGTGCAGATCCGAGCGTCAGAGATCACGCTGTAAGTCAAAGAGCCATGTGTGTGTGTGTGTGTGTGTGATGTTTGCAGCCATGTTGTGTGTACTACATCATGTGTGGTGTGTGTGATGTTTGCAGCCATGTTGTGTGTACTACATCATGTGTGGTGTGTGTGATGTTTGCAGCCTAGTCATGGCCCAAATTTGCTCGGCCAACATCGATATTTTGCCGCACAATTTTGCCACAAATATTTCGATATTCTGCTTGGCATTTCCTTTCTCCGTCGATATTTTGCTTTGGTTTTGCTCGAGATGAAATGAGTTTTAGGGAAAACTCAACGATAATTGTCGCTGATGACGACGATATATTTGATTGAGCTCCTGCTGCTGCTCAACTTTCCACTGAAATGTAGCCACGAGTCTGTTTTCTACAACTTTTGCGCTTGTTTTCAACCTTGGTGACTGATTGTGTTGAGGAAGTCCCTAAGAAGCCTTGGATTTTTCGAAAAGCCCACCAAAACTCGATATTTTGCTCAAAAGTTGCCGGAAACTTGCGCATCCGATATTTTGCTCAAAGAATTGCTAGCAAATTTGGGCAATGACTATTGCAGCCATGTTGTGTGTACTACATCATGTGTGGTGTGTGTGATGTTTGCAGCCATGTTGTGTGTACTACATCATGTGTGGTGTGTGTGATGTTTGCAGCCATGTTGTGTGTACTACATCATGTGTGGTGTGTGTGATGTTTGCAGCCATGTTGTGTGTACTACAGTTGTGGCAAGTGAAATCCAACACTTGCCATAGGGGACAGCGCCACAAAAGGACACCAATGATGTAATGCACTGCACCTAATTTGTACTATAGAGCCGTATGCATCCAAAACAGATCGAAAGGTCACAGCGTAGATACACACAGTTCACGAACATGGTACACATAAGGAGTATTGCCTATTGGTATCCAATCCCCATTCATTTTTGCCAGCACCTTTTGAACCTTGACTGTGATGAGTACGAGTTTTGTCATCAGACAGATAAAGTTGTATGTAACACATGTACTGTACGTATGCAGGGGCTGCAGACTGCATGGTGCAGTCCCTTATGCCAAGTGTCGGATTTCACTTGCCACAACTGTACATCATGTGTGGTGTGTGTGATGTTTGCAGCCATGTTGTGTACTACATCATGTGTGGTGTGTGTGATGTTTGCAGCCATGTTGTGTGTGATGTTTGCAGCCATGTTGTGTACTACATCATGTGTGGTGTGTGTGATGTTTGCAGCCGTATCATTATTGAATGTGTTGAAGTGATGTGTGTGTGTGGTGGGGGGGGGGGGGGGGGCAGCTTTCTGCACCCTGAATCCTAAGACCGACTGCAAGTTAACTTGGTACGAGAAGGAGGAGTGTTTGTGTCAGCAGGCCCTTCGCGGGGAACGACTGTGGTCGACAGCTTGATGAAAGAACAGTGACATGTCTCTATCTGCTGCATAATGGGACGTTGCATTGTCACGGTGGAGAGTGTGGTGCTATTGACTATCAATGGATTGGTTTCCCCAGGGAGAGCTAGCTTGTTGGCTGGTGTTTCATTGCAGTGGAGGACTGGTAGTCTCGAGGTGTGCCTGATTGGCCTGCCGGCGAACATTAGCTGAAGATCATTGCTGTTTTCGGAACTCTTGGTCGCTTTGGAGAATGGCTTCCAGGTCTGGAGACGACTGTGGAGCAATCGACGGCTTGCCATCGCTGGTGCATGGCCGAAGATGTTGATAGCTGGAGCAATCGATGGTTGCTGGATGTGGCGTTAGGCGGTATGCCAATAGCCAGGAATGCAGAGGTGGCTTCAGGATGTTGCCCTGTGACTTCAGCAGTCAGGAAGGCTTTTCCAACCTTGTCATCGAGGCATTTGATGGCACCATTGACGTAAAGCCAGAAAGCCAGAGGGGTGGAGTGCTGCGATGGTTGATGCTGAGGGTTTGGAGCAACTCATTGAATTATTAGGCAGAGTGAAACTGGAGTCTGTTGTCCGACACTAGTTCGTCGGGAGGCCCGAGTGTGGCAAAGACCCTGCACGGCGCAGGTCATCCACAGCTACTGGCATTCAAGGCCACCGGACTCCAGTGTGAAGTGAATGCTCACGTTCGCTTCTGGCCCTGGTGACCTGTATGGGCAAGCTGTGGTGTCCAGTCGCAGACCGCTGTTGGAATGACACAATGCAGATGTTGCACGGCTACAAACCATCTGCTTGCCACAGCTCTTGTTGTGTGCTAAAGACTGGTCTGGCTTGTTGTCTGCTTAAGACTGGCCTGGCTTGTTGTCTGCTAAAGACTGGCCTGGCTTGTTGTCTGCTAAAGACTGGCCTGACTTGTTGTCTGCTAAAGACTGGCCTGACTTGTTGTCTGCTAAAGACTGGCCTGACTTGTTGTCTGCTAAAGACTGGCCTGACTTGTTGTCTGCTAAAGACTGGCCTGACTTGTTGTCTGCTAAAGACTGGTCTGGCTTGTTGTCTGCTAAAGACTGGCCTGACTTGTTGTCTGCTAAAGACTTTCCTGACTTGTTGTCTGCTAAAGACTGGCCTGACTTGTTGTCTGCTAAAGACTGTCAAACTGGCCTGGCTTGATGTCAGGTGAAGCGGACTGTTTTTGTCCAGTACGTGGAGAACTCAGAACAGCTTGAAGAACACTATCCGATACTTTTAACACCTTGCAACTCAGTCCTGATTGGCTGCTCAAGCAATCGCACAGATGAAAGGGATTCAGATGCACTTCAAGTCAACTTCCCTTTCAATAAAGCAAATTTCAATCTTATCCCCCTAATCCTCTCCCCGCGGACCTTGGGATGTCAAAGGACAGGCAATTGTGTCCTGCACCTTGGCTACTGCATAACATCTGTTTCACACCTACGAGGAGGAAACCTTCCTTCTGCCAACGGTCATATCTACAATGTAGTTGACTTCCACGTTAAGCCAGGCATGCACTTCACCCCTATGATGCTATACAGTACCAGCCATGTTCTACAAGGGATGACGACGCTACATTCAGTGAAAACTGCCTTTTCATTACGCCTGATATGGGAAGTCGTTGCTTCACGAATATGGACTGGGATGTATCACTATAGAAGCACGCAAATAGCGACTTGGCCAGTATGATTACCGCTACGGTACGCAGTATTTTCGGGCTAGATCTTACGTACACGTGCAGAAGGCCTTTCTCGCTATTCCAGCCCGCTGAACAATAGTCGGTAGCACCCCTTGTCCTAAAGTCACAGTCTCTCATTTGTCACCGTCAGCCTCTATCACCCAACACTACGAGTCTACAGCAGCTCCTGAGAGGCTCTTTTAGCGCTAAAGTTTGTTCTCATTTTCGCTGGATCTACATGTAGGTATCGTGCCAGTGTCCACTCAAAAGTATCGTGCCAGTGTCCACTCAAAAGTATCGTGCCAATGTCCACTATCGTGCCAGTTTCCTCTAAGTATCGTGCCAATGTCCACTGTCGCAACAATGCCGACACCTGCAATAGCTGTGGTTTGTTTCACATTTGACTGCCACCGTTTTATATGGACTTCCAGCATGACCTTGTTTTCATTCTCTGATGATTCTATGAGTAACAGAAGCCGGTAGGAATGTTATGAATGGGAAATCTCTCCTTGTATAACCCCATAAGTCAGGTTGTTGTTGCCAGACAACAGCAGCGTCCTATTCAGCTCTGATGTTGGGCTCGGAGAGTAGAGGCAAGGGCCAATGGCGGGGTTCTCTGGGCCAGGCTGGTAGCGGAGCTGGTAGGTTAGATTTTGTATCCACGGCACCATACGTTCAATGCGTGGTAGAGTACAAGAACGTGACTGCAGAACTTGGAGGTGTGGCGTGTGGTCAGCATGCACCGCAAACTCCGAATCACCGATAGTGCTTTGAAATGGAGACAGCCAAACTTCACGGCCAATGCATTGTGCTCTGTCTGCAAGTAGCGTTACTCCGTGGTTGACTCGCCAATGCCACAGTCCAGGTCTTGGTTCCATCTAGGACCAGTTGAGAATAGCAGCAATGCCCACTGGTGATGTATCGATGTGTAGGTGAGTCTGCTTCTGTTGTCTGAAGAATGCTAGTACATGATTATCGCGTATGGATGCTTTGACATTATCGAATGGTGATGATGACTGCCCATCTGCAGTCCATTTCCAAGGCTGATCTACCCTTCTTGGTCAAATGGTGTAAGTTGTGACCATGTCCGGAATGTAGTTGCAGAGGACGATACAGACTTTACTCGCATTTTGTGGCATACAGAAGTCATCTGAATGCATCCAATCCAATCCCTGTGCTATCATCTACCTGGACGCCATGCTGACTGTAGTGCAATGCATTGCCATAAAGGTGAGCCATGACTTATGAAACTGCCACTTGGAGAGGTTAAGTGTGACAGTGTGCTCACAGAGTTGCTAGAGGCATGCTTCCGGGCGCATGTCATGCTTAGCATGGCTGTAACTGTAGATGAACGGGTTGTCTTGGATGTTCCGGACACCTCGAATCCCGGCTAAGACTTTCCCATCGTATGTTGCAATAGTTCCGAAGCTGGGGACGAACCCATTGCTTGCCATTTACAGTGCATCGGACCAAGGAGAGTGCACAAAGCAATGTACTGACCATTCGCCTCAAACTGCTGGATTCTAGTGCAACGCTTTGTCACTACTCAGCTCTCTGAAAACTTTGGTGTTAGCCATATCGGCAGCAATCTCGGCCAACATTTGGATAGAATGTCACTCTCTGGCAGAAACTCCATTGACATCAAGAAAATCCTGTGTGATCAAACGCAGTGCCAAGTTACTTTGCTGTGGGAGCTTGCCCACGTGAGGTACCATTGCAGGATACGGAGAGATGCTGAGTCTGTCTACGGCAGGACGGTATGGTAAACAGGTGCGTCTTTGCAGTATTTAGACGGGCCTCTGGCTTACAGTTAGTGACAGACTTTGGTGACTGCCTGCGACAAGGTGCAGTTGATTTTATCAAAACACTTGCTCAACTTGTCCAGGGCTACTTTATCAGCGAACCTTTGAGAATGAGTAGGTCCTGCATCCGCTCTGATATGTCCAGTATACATGGTGAGCATCAGTGGACCCAGGACACTTCTATGAGGAGTGCCGCATTCACAAGCGGAAATGCTAGAGGTGCTTCCACTGGCCAACATGTCATGTCGAGAGATAGCTAACAAACCAAGCCAGTATATTTGACTAGAGCTGAAGTTTGACCACGTCGCAAATGAGTTGCTGCTGTTGCACCTTGTCAGTCATTACTAAGGTCCACGGGCACCACACCTGTGTGAAGCTCGTTGTCCGAATAGTGATCAGCTGGTGAAGTGACAGCGTCCTTTGTAGATTAGCCACGAAGATACGCAAACTCGTTGGCGGTGACCAAAGAGATGTGGGTCAGAGACTGGGACATCCACTTTGTACATTGCCAAACGTACAGGGCAGAGCCTGAAACTCGGGTAACGCCCGCTAGCCTGTCAGCTTGTTTTGCCCTGCGCTCATAGTACGTGCGCCCGCTAGCCTGTCAGCTTGTTTTGCCCTGCGCTCATGGTACGGGGTGAACGGGATCTTTGACGGATCATTTCCAGTAGGCCCAGCCTTGCCGTGATCTTGCCATCGTACCGTACAATGTGTCGCGACGCTCTGGCTACTTGTGTGGACTGTACGTTGCTGACGGTGGTATCTGTAATATCCACGGAGCTGACACGTGTGTGTTTGTACACGTGGCAGGCTAAACAATGGGTGGTACTAGTATTTCAGTTGCATACAATATGTGGTATTTCAGCTACATACGATATTTGATATTTCAGTTACATACAACTTGGCGACGCTAGCGTTTCTAGATCAGTTGTCACGATATGCAAACTTGATGGCAAACTTGATTGTGTGATCTGTGTTGATGTACAGAGTCGAGTTCCCTTGGATTTCGTTAATTTCCGTCCCATGGGAGCAGTTTTGGAGGTAGGTCTTGTTACAGAGACTGGATAACACCAGGACATGTGTGCAATAGACTAGGGGTGAAACGGGTGATCCGGGTACCCGTTCGTTTAGGTGCCGATCCGTTAGCAAACGAGTACCCGTTAGTCGTGTACGGCAGTACGGTACGGTGCTGACTTGCACAGTCGTACATCGCACAGTTCGGTGTACAGCTTGAGCGGGTTGTTCTTGATCGATCTTGCTACATGTGACCGTTTTGCATGTAGCGCAGTGCATGCAGTGTACTTGTCACTCGTACTTGCATGTCATCCTGGCGCGAAATCCGGAAGGTACTAGTAACTGTCGTCTCTAAAAATAGTTCCCAACCGCTGCTGGAACCGTACCGTCGAGACTCACCCGGATAAGATTCGTTGTTGTGAGAAATACTCTTCAGTGTTGCCTGTTGGAGCAAGTTTTGAACAAGTCGAGTCGTCTCCTTGTTTGTTTGTTTCAACTGAAGTGTTTAGGTTGTCTTTGCAAGTAACAGTTTGCGATGTCGAACTCTGTGACTCTGTCCCAAGCTCCTTCGAGCGCATCGACTCCGTTCAGTCGCCAGGCACGTTCCGCAGTGTGGAAATTCTTCACTCGCGATGTCGAGGGCCATCAAGCGAAGTGTTTATTGTGTGAGGATGTGCTGAAGTACGATGGCTCCTCGACATCGAACTTGCAGAGGCACCTGAAAAATCGCCACCCCTCTGACTTCGTGGAGCAGACCAGCACTGCCAAGAAAGTGGACTCTCAGCCGACCATCGCGAAGTTCGCTCAGGCGAAAGCGGCCAAAGTGCGGGTTGTGTCGGTTCCTCGTGCAATGGCCATCACCAAGATCCTGGCATGGTGGACCTGGCTAGATGGGCGGCCGCTCAGCCTAGTCACGGACTCTGGCCTAAAGGAGCTGATGGATTTTGTTGAGCCCGGATATGTGCTTCCTTCGAGAACCCATATTGCTAAACTTGTCCGCAAAGATCACGCCGACGGTGTGACTCTTTTGAAGGGGAAGCTGGCCGACGTAAGCTATGTTGCATTGACCACCGACATTTGGACGTCCAAGGCAACGCATGCATTCGCCACGACTACAGCGCATTTCGTGGACGCGAGCTGGAAAATGGCATCATGCACGTTGGAGACAACTGAGTTCCCTGGTTCCCACACAGGTGTTCGCATCAGTGAGCAGATAGAGTCCGCTGTGCGCAAATATGACGTCGATCCAGCCAAAATCTGTGGCATCGTGCATGACCAGGCGGCGAACGTGGAATATGCAGGTAAGCATGGAACTACAACCATTATACTAATTAATTTTATAGAATTGCATTTTAGAGATGAGTGCCAGGTAACTAGAATGATAGTAGTGCATTTGACTTGGTGGACAGAGTGTGCAGTTTGAATAAGTCACGCTGCTAAACAAATGTATCCTTTGCACATACATACATACATACATACATACCAGACACAAACACACACACACACACACATACCATGCATGCATGCATGTGGCAAGGGAACCAACAAATAAAGTGTTGAAATATGAAAATTCATTCGCTTACCGTAGCAAAAATGGAGCTCTTTGTCCTTTGTTTTTGTGCAACTCCAGGCCGTATCTTGTGGGAAGAGTTCAAATGGCCATCCCTTGTCTGTGCTGCTCACCGAATTCAAAATGCGTTACGAGACGCCCTGGATAAGAAGACCTTATCAAGCCTGTTTGCAAAGTGCCGCCACTTAGTTGGACATTTCAAGCATTCCGCCTTGAAAACTGGCCAGCTTGAAGATAAGCAACGTCTGGTTGGTGCGAAGGAAGTGAAGCACCTGGTTCAGGATTGTGCAACAAGATGGAACAGTGTGTACCTGATGTTAGATCGTCTTGTCCAGCTCAAAGTGCCTGTGCAGTTGGTCCTTGCGGATATGCCAGACAAAGATCGCCGCTCCATGGACTTGTCCGCAGACCAGTGGGCCACTGCTGAACATCTCCTCGATTTCCTGAGGTCGGTGGACCAGGTGACGACATCTTTGGGCGGTGAGCAGTACTCAACCCTGTCCTGGCTTCTTCCCCTACTGACGGCACTGAAGTCCCATTGCCAGACCGGAGATGATGACGACCTGCTGGTAGTGGCATGCGTGAAGCAGGCATTTGCGGATAGTATAACTAGGCGCTTTCATTTGGATGGCTTAGATGTTCACGGAGAGGCAGTGCTTGCTGCTGCGTTGGACCCTCGGTTTCGGGCTCTAAAGTTCCTCGACTTGGAGCAGCAACATGAAGTGCAGCAAACGCTCATCAGCTATGCAAGTGTCGGCTGCTCGCCCTGCACGGAATCTTCAAGCTCTAGCTCCGGGCCACCAGCAAAACGCCGCTGCCTCCTGGATCAGCTGCTTTGCGACGACGGTGAGGATGAGGATAGCGAGGGATCCATCGAAGCAGAGGTAGCAGCTTATCTGGCTGAAAAGCCAGTCAAGCGCTCTGTTGACCCTCTGTTGTGGTGGAGCACAAATGCTGCCCGATTTCCCCGCCTGGCTCCACTCGCACGGAAGTACTTGTGCATTCCAGCAACTTCTGTTGCATCTGAGCGCGTGTTTTCCTTTGCTGGGCAGATCGTCGACAAGCGCCGGAGCAAGTTGTCTGCAGAAATGATCGATGCACAAGTCTTTCTGCACAAGAACGCCCACATCATCGATGTACGAGTTCCTGCGCCACCGAAGCCGGCCATGCCACTTGTCTTGGCTGCAGTCGAAGACGATGATGAACCTTCACTGCCAGATCTTCCTTCTCAGCCAATTGAATTATAGATAGTTCATGCTCTCTCTCCCTGTGTGTGTGTGCGTGTATGTGCATGTGCGTGCGTGTATGTGTGTGTGTGTGCCTGCCTCTCTCTCTCTCTCTCTCTCTCTCTCTCTCTCTCTCTCTCTCTCTCTCTCTCTCTCTCTCTCTCTCTCTCTCTCCCTCTCTCTCTCTCTCTCTCTCTCTCTTTCTCTCTCTGTTTCTTTTTTTCTGAAGAAGAAGATTCATTCTGGTTAGAAATGCTTCCAGAATGCCCGTAAAAGAGGCGTTGTACTTACGATCATAACCAGTGGCAATGCAGTGGCAATGTTCTTGTAAAAAGTGTATGGCTTGCTAAAGGGTACCCGATAACCCGCCCGTTAAGCCAGGTACCCGTTTGTTAGCTTAAAGGGTAACCGTTTCACCCCTACAATAGACTGAGCACTTCTGCAGGAATTACATACATGTATGTGCTACAAGTGTGCTTCATGCTTGCTATCATCTCATAAACACAGTGCTTGTGCCAGATTCAACAAGAAAATTGCTCAGTTCTCTCTCTCTCTCTCTCTCTCTCCTTTTCTCTGTTTTCTCCTCTCTCCAATTCTCTCCTTCTCTCTCTCCTTCTCTCTCCGTCTCTGTCCGTCTCTCTCTCTCTCTCTCTCTCTCTCTCTCTCTCTCTCTCTCTCTCTCTCTCTCTCTCTCTCTCTCTCTCTCTCTCTCTCTCTCTCTCTCTCTCTCTCCTCCCTCCCTCCCTCCTCTCCCTCTCTCTCTCCCTCTCTCCCTCCCTCCCTCTCCTCCCTCTCTCTCTCCCTCTCCTCCCTCTCTCTCTCTCTCTCTCTCTCTCTCTCTCTCTCTCTCTCTCTCTCTCTCTCTCTCTCTCTCTCTCTCTCTCTCTCTCTCTCTCTCTCTCTCTCTCTCTCTCTCTCTCTCTCTCCCTCCCTCTCTCCCTCCTCTCTTCCTGTCTTCCTCTCTGATTGCAGCGGTGCATTCGCCTGTGTTCCCACTGTCCACGCATTCCACTGTCGTCCGACTTCCACACTATTGTGCGGCGACGTGCATTGACTGCTCCACCACCCTCACCTGACATTCGTCTGGACGTGAACTCTAAGAGAGACATGGAGAGATTGTACATGTGTTATCTTTCTGTCATGTCCCTCGGTGGATACCACAAGGTATGCATATTGCCTAGACTGTTGTTGCTGCTGCTGCTGATGTTGCCTGATGCTGATGCTGATGCTGATGCTGATGCTGTGCTGCTGCCACCACCATTCATGAGAATAGTGTACTGGTGCTCAACATTGCCAACTGCTCCCATATGCCTGTCTTGTTACGGAACATTTTGTCTACAGTCAGGATTTTGGCATATGATATCCCGCAGAATGGAAGCACATACTGAAGCATGGACGTTGATAAGTTGATGGTCACATCCAGTAGTTGCAACACCGCCACAACGTCCACGACGGCAATGTGGAGGACTGGTGCTCCGATCGTTCTCAGCGTTACCACTGTTCTCTATCTCACTATAGGAATCGAGAAAGCTACGTTGAGCCACATCAACTGAGTCGTTGTAAAACAAGACTTTTGAAGCATCAAAACATGGATTGCTCTCCGTGTCAGTCACCGCTGACGAGTCGGAACCGCTCGAACTTGAAGCTGCCGTCGAATTCGATTCGGAGAAAACTGGGATGGGCTCATTGTCCTCTAGTCGCCTGAACTCCTGAAGTGCTTTATCAGCCTCCATCGTACATCCTATAATTATGTTTTTGGGTGACGGTGAACCTTCAAGCCAAAATAGCACAATTTTACTACAGCAAGATATCGCGTTGTTGTTGTTGTTGTTGTTGTTGTTGTTTTAGAGTCGAAGAACAAATAGGCAAATTTGCCTAATTACATGATATCGACTAAAAGAAGAATAAGTATAAAAAGCCATTAAAATTATACTGAATAAAGTGGGTAGTAAAGTATTTATAAAAGCCAACTAAGGTCAGTAAAGGAAGTGATTATAAAGCGGGCAGTGATGCACAGGGAAAAATCTGATTTTTTTATTTGTACTTCCTCCGCGTCATCGAAATTGTCGCAGTTTGACTTTTGATATAAAATGGGGTATTTACTCACCAGCACTCGTACCAGAGGCAAGGAATTGGACAAAGGCGATAGTCATCAGTATAGGGTGACGGTAAAGTTCTGTTTTCTGTTATTGGAAGCTGGAATTTTTGAACTAGACGCAATTTCTTCGCTGATGTCGCTGCGATGATAATTTCGACTCGCTGAGATCAGTCAGGCGTTCCAGCCTGCACATTTCTCGTGCTTATGCTTCACTCAAGCCTCGTCACTGTTTTGAGAATGACTTCGTGGAACAAGTGGCAGCGCTTGGAGAAACATCGGGGGAGGGAGGTCAGCAAACTAAATGCCTGCAACAGCGATAAAAATTGTCGCTCTGGCTGAGACACTCAGTACATGATTGTACCTGCAAGAGCCGTGTAGACTCTAAACGTAGTGCTAGTGATGCACGCTCAGGTGCCGTACCATGGTATACCAGTGATGCTGAAAAAGAGGGCACGCTGGACGTGATAGTACACTTACCTGCATGAGCTGTGACCACACAGCTAAAATAAATGGGCATGCCACGGCTAAAAAAAGTTCATTTCAAGATCGCGGTGATTCCGCCGACGGTAATCAACCGACCTCGCAACGATCGTGTATTCTTACTAGGCTTCGTTGGTGGTGAAGTAGAAATCATCCAGAGCTAGCAGACGACAAGCATAGCAGCTCTTGTCCTGTGGAGAAAGTCAAAGCGTTTGAGATGAGGCGCGACCAACTTTCAACCTTCCTTGAAATATTTCGGAACGATATTTTTTGCGTCCATTGACATCAGGGACGACGAGGACTTCATCTCTGCATGAAAACTCTCAGTCCAACTGTCCTGGAACGTTACTCTAGTCTTCAGACTATCATACTGTGTAATAAGTTTTGAATGGCTTAGCTTATAGAGTTGTCAGTAACATGTGACAAGTCACTAGTCAAACTGCGACAATTTCGATGACGCGGAGGAAGTATTTTTTTATACGAATGTCCACTATATTCTCGAATATGTGCGAGAAGTGGTGGTGAGGCCTGGCTGCTCTGCCGACCTTAAAGGTCTCGGCGTCTACGCAGACAAAGCATGCCATAATGCAGTAAAACCATGAGGAGGAGAAGACGAAGGGGAATGATTAATAAAGTGAGGAACGAGGACAATGGGTAGATGGTCGCGAGAGAAGTAGAATGGGAGATAACATGTCGTGGGGAGAGAAGCAGAATGAGAGATAACGTCACATTGTGGTGAGGAGGGAGGAAGGATGATAGTGAGGCGCTGGTCTAAACCGTTTCATAGGGCGTCGGTGGCTGTTTGCCAGTTCAGGTGCAGCAGATACTTGTTGCACTTTTCCTTGAAGGACTGGAGCTGTCTGGACTGCGGCTCTGCTGATAGGATGGTCGCTGGTAGGCTGTTCCAGAAGGGAATAATGCATTCTGGGTAAGAACCCCATGAGGCTGCTACGGGTGCGCACGAGCAACGTTGACTTGAGCTGGAGCGGGTGGCAGTGGGCAGTCTCCGTTGCTAGTCTAGTGGATCGACCACCCACTGGGCGGGGGTTGGCTGGTGGTGGGAGGATAGCTTCAGGGGGGGGCTTGTTGTTGGGAGGTAGGACAGCTTGGAGGTGAACGAAAGCGCAGCAACCAGTCGGCGGTGCTTCAGGCTGGGGAGCCAGGCGCCTGGGCCAATAACCTTCAGTGCCTTGTGCTGTATTTTGTCCAGCCTGGATGTGCATGATCCCATCCACACCAGGCAGCAGTATTCCATCGTTGGCCGCACGAAGCCTTTGTAGACTGCCGTGCGGCCGCTAGAGTCCAACAGGGGCGCAACCTTTTTCAGGAAGTGAAGGCGTTGGGCTTCCTTTGAGGCCACGGCCCGGAGGTGTGCTGAGTAGGACAATTGCGCATCAAATGCTATGTCAAAGTTGATGTGATGTTTTCTACATTAGGGACTGAGAACGATTTCCCAAAGACCTAGGCGACTGATAGCAGCATTCGGCATGGTTACTGAAAAGCAGCATAATGCTGGGAGGGATCGCATGAATCGATGGTACTGTGAAATCTTCCTGATGTCGGTCTGGAGCCTGTTCCACAGTAATACACATTGGAATGAGGCAGAGTGTGTACCAGCGGATGTCTTATTGACTGGACATTTAAGTAGGCGATTTTCCTGACTGCGTGTAGCACGGCCGGCATTGAGAAGACTGAACGTATTGGTAAGCACTGTACTGCATTTACCCTGAAGGCAGCGCCAAGTGTAACCAAGGAGCTTGTGGCAGTACGTAACCTATAGTGAGTGCAAGCGCTGTTACGGAATCACAGCCATTCCGTTCCCCGGGACGCAGGACACAAAGGACAAGACTTGTTTGTTACATTATTTATATCGACAAGACAGAAAAGCAAACTGCTCTGACAGAGACGAACAAGAAGACTGATCAAAAGGACTCTCGACTACAAAATCGCGCATGCTCATATCACACATGCACGCGACTAGACGAGACAATTTGGGGAATGCCATCACACAGGAAAACAGCGCAATCGGCAATACAGCGGGGCAGATGGGGATGCAAATGGAGCATTGAAAACACAGCGGACTGCACGCTTGAGTAGACACTCAAGGCGCTCGGGCTGATGTGGGGTGAGACCAGCAGAGAAACAGTTGCTAGCATAAAGGAGGAAATCAGGAAGGATAAGGAACTTCAGGTACGTGATGCGACACGGGAGGGGCATGCAGCGCCTGTGTGTGAACATAACTGCTATTTTACAGGCAGCTCGCTTGGCGATCTTATTGACTGATGTGGACCAGGTCCAGTTGAGCTCCAGAACACATAACATTGACAAGAGTATTCACATAATGAAGGGCAGGGATGAACAAAATCTGGGTCTTATGCTCATTTAGTACCAGGTTCCTGCTGGCAAGCCATCTGGCCAGGTGTGTAACTACAGAAGACATAATTTTATTAGTAGTATGATATTACGTTGCAGTCGATCTTTGTCCTAGTGGTAACGTGATACGGTCCCCCAACACAGCAACACACAACAACAAAAGTCAAGTCTTTGAATTTTGATAAGGATCCACGCATCTTACGCGTTTCTGCCTTGTAGGCTTCGTCGGAGATGAGGATGTTTGTTGCTACTAATGTAGAGCGTGATGTCATCTGCAAACTGAACTGTCCGCACACCATGCGGTTGAACTTCAGCTGCCACACCACGGACATAAAAGACAAACAGCAGAGGACCAAGCACGGAACCCTGGGGCACACCGCTGCTGGGCTGAAATAGCTTGCTGAGCTGGTTCAATGACAACTCTTTGCTGCCAGTCTTTCTGCGGACCGTTCGAAAGCTGAGAACAGCTATATTCCCATGAGAGCAACTAACACATTCGAAAATCCCGCTTGAAGTACATCAACGGATATCCGTGGTAATGTGTGCACACAAGACACAAAAGGGTTACAGACTGTGCTTTGCAGAATACCGTACTCGCGCGATTAGATCCCTCTCTTGAATAGTGCCCTATCTCAAATAGTGCCCTAGTCTCTGAGAGCCAGTGAAAAAATAAAGCCTTGTCTTGAATAGTGCCCCCCCCCCCCCCCCACACACACACCCCCCCACACACAGCTTGTAACCAAGCGCATGTGCAAGTTTGGTGTTGTTTTGCTAATGCACTTGTCCATCTCATTGCACTGGTAATTTCAGGATCAAAATCGCAATTCCTGTTGTCGTTTCTGTTGAGTCATGATACTTTACACTTTACAGTAAACTTTTGGGCTTTGTTTTTCTTTGCATTCTTTGTTCTTATGCTGGATGACGTAAATGTACCAGCATTGAAAAAGACTGCCCTCTCTTGAATAGTGCTCCATCTGTGATGGACATTGAAAATTAGTGCCCCAGGGGCACTAATGGCACAAGTATGGTAGCTGCCATGTCTCTTGTTGATGTCGGTGTTCTGTATGTGCATGCATGCGTGTGTGTGTGTGTGTGCATGCATGCGTGTGTACGCGTACATGTGTGTGTGTGTGTGTGTGTGTGTATGTGTCCGTGTGTGTGTGTGTGTGTGTGTGTATGTGTGTGTATATGTATATGTATGTGTATGTGTGTGTGTGTGTGTGTGCGTGTACACTTGTGCATGTATCCGGCGGTGACGGCAGGTATGCCATCGCGATGAGTGGGATCTGGTCCACAGCGACTCCACCGGCTCCAGACTGGACCTGAGGGAAGATGCTGTTGAGCAGCGTCTCTATCGTCAGTACATTCTCTTGGTGGAGGATGACCTTTACGATAGCTGTCCACCTTCACCGCGGGCGTATCTTGGTGAGTCATCTACTGGTTAATACGTTCTCTAGTCGGTATGATGATGATGGCAAAGAGAAAGTGCTTGATTGGGCTAAGCCGAATAAACTTTTTTCTCATGGAGCCAGTAGCTCGGACAGGAAATGCAAAGAAGCGCACTCAAGTTGATTGCAAGCTTCTTCATTGGCGTGCAAACACAGCACAGAGCACCCTGCCGCCGCTGCTGCTCTGTGCTATAGAAATACTTCAGAGGTGTATGGCTGCTAGCGTTGCCTCCACTACGACACCGCTGCTGCTGCTGCTGCTGCTGCCGTTGCTGCTGCTGCTGCCGTCGCTGCTGCTGCTGACGTGTCTGCTGACGTGTCTGCTGCTGCTGCTGTCGTTACTGCTACTGCTGCTGACATGTCTGCTGCCTGTAGGAAGGTACACTGGCATGAAGATATTATCATGGTGCATACCCCACTTGTGGCTGGCTGGCTTGTAACCCGATGTTGTTTGTGCTTTGCTGCAGATCATGCCGCTGCTGCATCATCCCGGGGCCGCTACGAGTCTGAGCACCGTCGCTCCGATCCTCGATCAACACCCGTACCGGCCGCTGTCCAACCTACACAGCAGTCTTCACACCGATCACCACATGCTTCTCATGGTTTGTTGGATAGACCGTCAGCGACGCACGGAGAGCCCAGCAACGTAGGAGAAGCAAGGCGCACCTCGGACGCGCGCCTGCCTGACCCTCGTGAGCATGACGGCAGGTTGAGACACCACCACCACCACCACCACCAGCAGCACCAGCAGCACCATCACCAGGAACAACAACAACAACACCAACACCAGGAACAACAACAACACCACCACCAGGAACAACACCAACAGCAGCAGCAGCAGCAACACCATCAGCAGCAACACCCGCATCACCCGCAGCAGCAGCAACATGAGCGTAGCAGAGGCACTGCCGCCACGTATCCTACACAAGTCGGACACGTTCACCGAGGTACGACTAGTGTATGCACGATTATTATTGTACAGCGTAAATGTATTCTTGTTCCACCGAATTGCCTTGACACTCCATCAGCAACACTGGCTCACACTGCTACCTGGGGGCTCACGATATCTATTGCTCTGTTAACGGATTGTCCCTGTAGTTTGTATCTCTAGTGATGTTTGGGTTGTTCCAGCGCTATACAATGTGGTGCTCCCAGGGCGCACATTTCATTAGCCTACTTAAGCTCAACTGAGGAGGGGTGATTTCCCTGAAACGCTGTGTATTGGGCAGGGCGTGGTGCTTTCTTGCCGGTTTGCCGATGGAAAACTTCAAAGTGCTTTTCGTGTGTTCCAGCTGGCAGGAGTGACAGTCGAATGTCACTTTATTCCGCGTTGGGCATATGCATCATCACATGGATCAAGACGTCTTACATGACACGTGATCGTTGCCGGGGCCATGGCCAATAGGCGATCTTCCCGCCGCGGGCATAATCAGGCCATCAGGACCGTTTGACGTCATTTCGGGAGTTTCAGGACCGTTTGACGTCATTTCGGGAATGTTCGGACCGTTTGACGTCATTTCGAGAATAATTTTTCGACCTTCGACCTTTCCACCTTTGACCTAATATGTTGCTTCGCGCTGTAAGAAATCAAGTCAAGCACGCTCTTTCTGTTATGATGGCTGAATCTTGCCCTTGCCTGCAGCCCTCGGGCCTACGGCCCTTGGGCTGCAGGCTCGGGCAAGATTCAGCCATCATGACCTCCTGAGCGTGCTTGATTACATACATCTTCAAAATCAGCCTGAAATAGATCAGAATCAAAACTAGACCTTCGCCCCAAACGTGTGTGGATCCATATCTAAACTAGACCTCCCCCCCCAAACATGTGTGGATCCGTATCTAAACTAGACCACAGTGGCTAAAAAGTCCACATTGTCATGACTCTGGCCTGGCTGTGACGTGGCACTTTCAAGTCCTACACGGGGAAGACCGGTTCAGTTGGCATGTATGCTCTTCGCTGCGTAGAGCCGTTGAATAGACTTGTAGGCTATTTGTCTACTGTGTTCTACCTACCAGGGCACTGTATCTCATGAACAATGTCAAATATTGTCAATGCAATAACACTGAGAAGAAGGACACACTTCAGGCTCTTGAACATCTCGACTGTTTTCACTAGTATCCTTTCAAGATGTCAATGAGATGTTGTTCACTAGCCTGAAGTATGTCCTTCTTCTCAGTGTTATTGCACGCTTGTCTCCGAGGAAACTATTGCCTTGGTCATTGTAAGGAAGCGATTATCATGTTTAAGTTCTGTAATGGGTGGCTTTTCAATCAGCTAGTGATTGGGTTGCTTGGCCGCCTTGAAGTCTCCATTGCTCTCCAGTCACTACGTTACCAAGGCATGACTGGTGCATCAGATATCGGAATACGGATTTCCATTTTTTGCTCATCTCCTTCAATATTATTTATATTTATTTTTGTTGTTCCGCGTGTCGTCTCTCCGACTTGTAGATCCGAGACTGGTCAGGAAACGTGAGCAACCCTCTCCTCCCGTCCCGCTACCAATACCTGATCTCTTGAAGCCGATTGCGCAAGACTCCACGAGTGACTCCTGCTGGTCGACCACGCCGAGTCGAAACAGCGGGAGCAGCTGGCTGGACTCTGGCCCGGCTCCTGATGTGAAACGCTCCGTATTTGAGTCTCTGAAGCTGCTACGGAGTCCCAGCGATCCTCGGCTGAAGGGCTTGTCATCTGAGAGGAAAGATCGAGAAGACAGAACGCCTTCGCATCCACCCACCAGGAAACTGCCTCATGCAAACGGAGACCGGAAGGAAACTAGAACGCCCGGCTGGGAGTCCCGTAGACAGACAAGTCCTTCAAGGCATGAGTGCACGCCAAGCATTGCTGCTAATCACCATTCCTCCAGTCCAGTGAAATTAAAACAATCTCCAGCGGTAGTAGCAGCAGCACCGGAGACAGCTTCACCCGTTCGTACAGACAATGGTGTGTCCACGCGCAGAAAGGTAGCAGCTGCAAAACCATCGTCCACACAGGAGCCACGTACCCCTGCACCATTCGCTTCTAGCTGTGTGAAACGCGACCTGAGTCGGCACTCTATGCCCGTGCTGGAGCGCATGAAGGCTGCCTTTCTGCAGGAAGACCCGTGTCCCGTTGTACCCGCTCCGGCTGACAGTACCACGTCAGATCTGTCACCCACCGCCACAACCGTCTCACCAGTGGTAACATCCTCGCCGAAGTCGCAGCCTGCCGTCACCTACTCCTCGCACATTGGTTCGGGTAGCAGCAATACGGATACTGCTAGCTCTCCGGGGACACCACTGAAGCGTATTCGTCCCCTGTCTGATTCGCGCACTCAGCTAGCTGTCACTTCTATTGAGGAGCATGCTGGCTGTAAATCAGATCACCAGGGTGATCAAGATGAGTATACCAAGGAAGAAGAGGAAGATCGACTGGTAGTAGATCTTGAATCACAACCAACAACACCGGATCATGATGATAGTGGTGACATTGTTGAAGTGAGCGATGGAGAGCAGTGTGTCGCCTCTACAGGATCCCGGCAGCATTCGCCGTCAAGTGTGTGTTCCTCTAACTTGCTAATGTTTGACGACGACGACGACGATGCTGAGATTGTGTCGGCTCTTGATCACGCTGCTTCGGCGTGTGCTGATGAGGACTATGACAACGATCGGTGCAGTGAAACGTCTGAGGCCGACAGTACCAAGACTGTTGGTGGCAGTAGCAGTGCTGGTGCTAGCAAACGCCGCGCTCGTGAATTGGAGCGCCTGGTCATCACACCTCCTCCTTGCCGCTCACCGCCCAAGGAGGTGGCCGTGCCGGACTTTGTGACCGACCCACGCTACTTGTCCCGAGAGCAGCGGAAACTGCAGCAGACACTGCAACACTTCCAGCTCATGGAGATGAGGGCATCCGCCAAGGCTAACAGACAGAAGCGCAAGACCAACAACGCAGCTCATACTGAGAAGCCGAAAACCAACACCGGCACGTCTTCATCAAGCGTGGGCAACGTCAGCCAGGACCTGAGGAAAGTGAAGCAGGATAAGCTACCAAAGTCTCAGCTGCGTGCTGCTGTAAGTCATCAGTTGAATGCTGTGTGTTTACCTGTGTGTACAGGCACAGGTGTGCGTGCGTGTGTGTGTGTGTGTGTGTGTGTGTGTGTGCGTGCGTGCGTGCGTGCGTGCGTGTGTGTGTGTGTGTGTGTGTGAATGTGTGAATGTGTGTGTGAATGGGGTAATCCCAGCACAAGTTGCTATGTCTAACATAGCTGTTCGCTATCATCGCTTCCGCGATGGGCATGTCTGAGGTCTGAGGTGTGTGTGTGTGTGTGTGTGTGTGTGTGTGTGTGTGCGTGCGTGTGTGTGTGTGTGTGTGTGTGTGTGTGCGTGCGTGTGTCTGTGTGTGCGTGGGTCTTAGTGTGCATGTGTGCTTCCGTGTGTGTGTTTGCGTGTGTGTGTGTCTGTCTGTCTGTGTCTGTGTGTGCATGCGTGCGTGTGTCTGTCTGTCTGTGTGCATATACGTATGAAATGCTCTGCTATGACGTCATCCCGAATACTACTGGCGTACAACCTGAGTGTTACTATTGGATGTTCCGGCTGCGTTGCATCTCTGTGCTGGCAGTGCAACAGGACAGCGATGAATGGAGGCCTGGATAGTGTCAATAGTATCTGCCATACAGTATACACACTCCATTGATTGGTAGCTGTGGTGTCCAGCAGCATGTTGCACTGTGTAGACACAAGCAGTTACCTTTGTACTGAGTGCTGTATGACTGGCTGTTTGATGATACCATGCAGTCTCTGCAGAGCCTGAGGCAAGCTCGTGAGGTGCGCTGGGCCAGGCGCTCATCTCAAAAGCCGATTGATGTTGATGCTGGTGATGCCGATGCAGTGGGTTCCAGCTCTGTGCTGTCACGGGCACATGCGGCAGCGCGTACTGCAGCTGCTATGACTGCTGCTGTTACTGCTGATCCGGGTCTTAGAAGTGCACGAAAGGTCAGGCCTACACTGCAGCAGCCATACTTGCCAGTGACTGGCAGCCCGCTCTCTACTTGTTGCACGTCTATTTCTGTGCCACATTGACACTGCAATGCAGGGGACAGACGGTGTTGATCTGGTATTGTACTAACATACAAGTATCACCCCAGTCTAGCGTTCACTGGTCCGAACATCCACTCTGTATCTTGTCCATAGCCCTATCCTGGCGCTGTACTCGTCTAGGAATTTCGTTTTACCTCACGACGCTTAGGTGGTTGTTATGTTATCACATGATCCCTGCACATGGTGTCTAATCCCTCAATGTGCGTGTGCTTGGTTCTGTGTTTCTGGTGTCCTGGTCCCGGTGTCTAGGGTGCTGGATTAAGATGTAACGTCCCCTCCAGAGCTCAGCTGGACCAGCCAGCACCTGCTGGTGAGGCTAGAGCAGCTCGTGCACTGTCACCGTCTTCGCAGCCACCTCCCAAGGTTCGCAAGGTAAGGAGGATTTTCGTCGGGGGAATATCCCTGCCCTTGACTTCTTTGTTTTTGAGTATGCCGTTGGCCTTTTGGTAAAAAGATGTCCGCCTTTCATCTAGTATCGGGTATCAGAGTCAAGTCCAGTTTCAATAGTGGTCTTATCACATTTAAAAAGAGGACCAGCTAAGGAGCTTTGGCTCGTGCCAAAGCTACCACCACCATGGTAGTATTCCTGTACATGTATGACTGGCAGCATAAGTATGTTGTGCTGTACTGTTTCAGTGGATGTTTGGTAATCCCTCTTTGGAATTTGTGCGTATTTGTTCATTTGCTTGCTCTTGTGTAGGTTCAGCATGTCAAGCCCTTTGTTCAGGTGAGCTCTCTTTGATTTTCTCCACAACCTGCACATTTGCACCTATCCGGGCACTCACTATACATTTGACCCTTGGTCCAAAAGCTGTTTTTTCCGGTTATGAACTCCCTGGAGATTTGATTTTCATGCTCAACGTT